CACAGTTGTACTGTGACATCCGCCGAGTTGTAAAGTAACCGTCAGCCGACTACAAGTTGGAGTATAGCAGCCGTCGCGGAAAGAAGATCCGGACGTGTGAGTGATTGTGTAATTGGGAGCGTGTGATACAGTGATACATAGCTCCCCTACTGTAAACGTGTAGACTACTGAACACGGAGTGAACTGATTTGCGCATAGGGTTATAAGTCGTGAAACCCCGCAACAGTGTTAACAGATTAATGCGATTAGGGTTATAAAGTGTGAAACCCCGCAACTGTGAGATAAGTAATCGTAGCCGTTATTTGTAGATTGTTAAATAAACCAATTAACCATCTCTACGGCGTCTTCAGTAACGCAAAACACGTTACAATATATTTTTTCTACAACAATATAATAAATTTATGTGAACAGCTCAAAATACTGTGGCATATTTCCTCCATGCAAGAATGGCTGAGCCACAGAAACAGCTGTTGCTAAGTAATACACTCACTCAACAATAGAACAACAGGTTATGCAGCCCATTTCTAGGCAACGGCTTGGTAAACACACTTTTGCATAGGAGGTGACATCACATAACAATAAAGCAACAGTGTTTTCTTTGTGTCCATGAAGCTTGTGCATGCTTGATGTCTCACAATACTACGGATGCTGTATTTTCTGTGCGGTCTGTACAAAGCCTATATAATGAGGCTCTGTTGTAGCAGAACAGTTTCCAGCTAGAATGATCTTCTGTGGAGAACTAAGCACTGAACACAGCGTGGCAGTTGTAGGTGACTGTATTCACAACAGAATTTTTTAATATTTCCTTGTTGTATTGTCCTCTACCAGAATTCTGTCTTTTGAAAACATTCATCAACAAGAAGTTCTGGGAAGAACTACTTGCCTACTTTCCTTTCACTATAATTTTGAGTATCTGATAAGACAAGTAGAACAAAATCTTTAGTATGCATGCAGTTTATGAGGTGTCAGTGTTGACATTAATGATGGGAGTAACTTAAGAAGTACACTGTTCAGATGGCCTCAGATGGTCTGATATATGTACCAAGTTTCATGAAGATTGGTTTGGGCATACAGGTAATATTTAGGTGATCACAAGGGAGAGTCAGTAAAAAGGTCACAAATGGAAGTAAAATTGCTGTAATGGAAGTAATAGGTTTTCTATGTGTATCAACAGGTAGCAGCACAGTATCAATGGTGGTGGAGGATATGTTGAGAAACGTTCTTCCCAGGTTCGAATATCACATGTTTTACATTGTATATCCATGTGGGACCTATTTACTGACTCTCTCTCATATCTAGACAAGTTACTGACTGAAGGGGTTTAATGGGTGTTGGTGAGATGGGCTCAGGTGGCATAATACACATACAAAGTTTCACACAAAATGGTACAGGGGTTCAAGGAAAATTAAGGTTTTGCCTCAGATGTTTGAAAGGCTGTAATGATGGTATTACTGATGGCAGGGATTTAGGATGAATGCCACTGAAATGGGCTCAGGTGGCATGATATATGTACCAAGTCCATAATGATTGTTTCAAGCATTTAAGTAATATTAGAGTTATTACTACAACAATTTGAGAGGCTGTAAAGTTGGTATGACTGATCAAAGGGATTTAGAAACTACACTGTTGAGATAGTTTTATGTGGCATGATATTCATACTAAGTTTCAAGAAGACTGGTATATTCAAGCAATATTAAAGTTCTGCCTAAAAAAAATCTGAGAGGATGCAAATGTTAGTATTACTGATTGCAAGGATTTATGAGTTACACCGTTCAGATGGGTTGAGATGCCACGCTATACATAACAAGTTTCACAGGACTGGTTCAGGCATTCAAAAGTTGTTTGGGGGGGGGATACACATACAGACCCACAGACAGGAAGGTGATCTTATAAGCTTACTTTTATTGTTTCAAAATAAAGAATATAGGGTCAAAACATAACATAACATATATAACAACCTACATATGCAAGGAAATGCTACTACCATAGCAAGTAGGAATAATCACACATTAGTAGTCTAATTAACAAGTAATGAATATATACAAGTCCATATTTATATTAAGACTTTATGTGGGACATATAGCATGTTTCAGAAGTAATGTAAATAACCTGTGCATTTACATGGACCATAAGAAAACATTTAAGTAACTGTTTGGCTTGACAGTCAGTGCATTCTTCTTTAGGTAAGCTAGTAAGTACTCTTCAAGGCATAATAGATCACTGTGATTGCAGTGCAAGGGCCAAGAAGGCCCACCCCTTATACATTCAAGTACTCCTTAGAATAAAAAGGTAAATCTATCCCTGTAACAGGTCATGAAGGCCCACAGGGTTGTGAGATGCTGAGGCTCCCACATTTTCTCTAGGCAATCGGCTCACAGGTGGCGGTAAGGATGTCAGCCTAATGTGCCGGCCACCATTTACTCCCCAGGAAGATTCCTGGTACTCATTTCTGTTAGAGGCTGAGTCAAACCCAGGGCCATAGTACGGCTGGAAGAACTAGGTCAACTGAAAAAAAAATCCACCTCATCAGGACTCGAACCCACGACCTTCCAGCTTGTAGCACAATGCCTCAACCAACTATGCTACTGTGTGCCCCCTGCCTTTTGTGAATACTTTATTCAAACTACATCATTTGGCTACTTGTCCCTGCACTATGGTTTTGTTCACAAGCAAGCAGGAGAGTCATGTAACACATGGCTCTTTGTGCTGCATTCACTGACAGGTGTTCTACACAACCCCTGAGACTTATCCCTTGAAAAGACTCATATACATGAGGACCAAAAGATGGGGTGAGAAGCAGTAGTGCGATAAAGGGTCTCTCTCAACATACAAAAAGATGATTCCTGTATCTGAAAAGGCAGACACTCCATCTGCACAAAACCAGACAGCAAACTGACTGGCTTCACCTCTGCACATCTTCCAACCAAATCCCAAAAGAGATAGAAACAAGTGCTACAACAGAAACTATGAAAAAGTACTCCCACTGAAAGAAATGCATGTGGATACGATTATCATCATTAAAATGACAGTGCATAAGAAGTTGCTCTTTAGAACCAACTACTTGTTACAGGCCATACATAGTACATCAAACTTCAACTGTATAAGTTGCAGGGCCATTATTGGAAAGCTGATAGTAACTCAGATGGTCAAGATGCTCCCTCAATTTAGAGAACTAGAAGGTTCGTTACTGTGTTCACAAAATCACAATCCAGTTGAATCCAATGCATACATTTATGCCATATTTCTCAATGGACATGAAGATAAATTTAAATTACATAACTAGATATGCAGATTAACTGCCTATTGGATACACATGAAACCAAAAGTGTCAGAAGAGCAGGTGAGCGGGCATAGATGTTCTTACGGATATTAATGGAGTGCAAGTAGTGAACACTAAAGCCTAAAACTCACTGCAAACTTCTTCACTAACCTGACTTCAACTTCAGGTTTATTATGCCTTTCCACAACTTGAGATGAAAAGTTATCCAAACACATAGCAGCAGTCAAGGTATGTCTAACAGCAGTTAAGTATGGCCGTAAAGTTGCAGCCTGCAAATGGAAACAATATTTCAATTAAATAACAGAAAATTGCCAACAAAATAATCAATTATACTGTTGTGCATAGAGCTGTTTCTAGGCAACAGCCCAGTAAACACATTCCTGCGGCAACAGATGAGCATGCAACAACAGAGGTACTTTTAGAAAAGGTGTTTCCTACTTAGTCCATGCAAAGGGGTTGTTATTGTTATTATTGAAGGGGGTGGGTTTCCCCATGCACTGGGACTATTTGTTAATCTATTGTGCGTCCCCCTTTAATTTCTACTGTTGCCATGCCCTTCCAGTACTGGTGCTCGCTATCAGCCCTGTTCTGCCGGCGAGGTCGGCCCTCTCTGGCAGCGGTCCCCAATACTTCCCCATCTACTGGAGGAATTGGAAACTACTTGGGTGGGAAACTTTGCCTAATTTTGCTCAGAGGTCTCCTAGAGACAATGAGGATATTTTACGTGCAGTAAATCTATGACACGGGACACACAGCTTAAAGTCCCTTGTTCCCTAAATTTTTCTCCCCTTAAAAATTCCATGACCTCCGCCGGGTTTGAACCCACGTACCTTGAGTCATGAGGTCGGAACGTTACACCTAGACTACGGAGGCCGCTTATGCAAAGGGGTTACAAGGAGGACAATTGAAGCAAGACTAGTTCATATGGAAGGGAGCCACTGTTCAGAAAGGATTTGAGCCCAGAAGCAGGGGAATAGCCATTGTTAGAAGCCATTACCAGGCAACTACTAGTGAAGACACTGCGGGCTGGAAAAGACTTAGTGTGTGTGACAGTGATCTGTAAAGTGTGAAAATCAGTAATGGCTCTGTCATTAAGGGCAATTATGAGCTGTGTGCTAAAGTGGTCAATACATGCAATGTCCACTCCAAAACCCCATCGATAGTGCTACTCATACATGTGATTATATTGTCACGTGATGGAGTGACTATAAACAGGGTCTGCAATGGCAACTGGATTTACTGGTCTCTTATAAACAACTCATGACTTCACTTTACAGATCAATATCACACACCAACTAGTGTTCCCAGTCATGACCTTCACTGTGCTGCTTGGTAGCATTTTCAAACACTGGATGTTCCTCTGCTTCTGAGCTCACATTCTCACAGTCTGGCAGCCATCTCACACCAACCCCCTACTCTGCTAACTGCCGTCTCACTACTGTCTCATAATGGCAGCTGGTCCCTGTTACATAGCCTTGCCACAGACTGCACAGACATCGTTATGTGTGTGGATCACACAGAAAACACCATTCCTCTGTTGCATGTACAATTGATTTTAAGCTGAGTTGTTTACTTTGCCATAACCTAGTAATCTCTCTCTCTTCAGTTATAATGTCACAACATTAACTACACAACCCAAGGACACAAACAGGTAAAGGTAACGTTACCCCTCTGTCCAGACACCATGTCATGACAGCATATAAATGGAACTAAAGCTATATACTCCAAGCTGCATGCATTCTAAATGGAGGAGAGCGATTAATTTCACACACCAGCCACTTTATCACATATTATCCATTGGAAAGGTGGCTGGACAGGCACAAGATTTTGACTGGATGTGGTTTCACCGACAAGCAGCAGTCGCTCGGTCAGTATAGTTTGCTTACGGACTAAAACTATGAAGATTTTTTGTTTGTTTGTATTGGTGATGAACTGGACCTTTGCCATACAGTTTAGAGCCAGTAACTTCACTGAACAATTTCACTCTTCTAATGAAAACCACTGGAAACTGAATCTGCAGCTTTAAGCAGAGTATCTGATGTGTTCAAGAAAGATTTGCTGAGAGACATACATGCTTTCCAGGTTCACACAAGCCTGATGATCAAGTGCAGACAGCCTTGTAATTAATTTCTACCATCCAAGAATAGGATGTTTTAAATTTCCCAGTACTACAAAGCTGTGTGCGGGATTTTAATTCAGGATAACTGTAAAAAAATAAAAGGCAAATACTTGGCCAGTTGGACTGTCCTCATGTAATACTGCAATAACTCAATACATAAATTGTAAATATTAACAAACACTAAACATTTATTTGAGATGCAATATTTAAAGTATGGCAGATATGGAAATGATGAAGTTCATTAAGAACAAAATGGTACAACACCCAATTCAATACAATTTTAAATAATTCATTTTGAGATTCATTGGGAATATAAAGCATTGAAAGCAGATAAGATTCATTCACACAAGGATGATAATGCTGTGGTTTTATTTTAAGTGGTACCATAAGTTTGATGTAAGTTTCAACTGTTACATTCCTAAACATACCCACAAATATTTACTTCAACTGTTTTACTTCTATCAGTATTCTGCTCATAAGTGGAGCAATATTTTCATGTTAGTTTTTGAGAGGAAATGCAACCATATAGGAGTAATGCAGTCTACATGCATAAATGTTTCCAACATATTGGAAGACTTCATTACACTGGTATACTATCATTACTGGTACTGTTACTATTGATAACTGGTATTGTTAGGTAAAAGGTTAAGTTGTCCTTGTGTTTAACTAATTTAAACACTACACCATGTAAGCGTATGGGGAGTGGATGTACAGATCCACATTTTCTTGACCTCAGCACTAGCTGGATGTAAGTGGTCAGCTTCATGCCACTGCCACTTTACCCATCCATTCTACACATTGTATACGTTTCTTTTGCAGGGACATAGTAAGCATAGCAAAACGTATATTCAGCAACTGAAATAGATAATAAATGGTTGCTTGTAGTATCTTGATGTGATCGATGACTGACATGCTCATATATAGGGCTTTTGATTACTGTAATACTCTAAAAATTCTCTCGGTAAACTCACAGGTTAGGAAAACTAATATGATGGACTTTTTATAAATCAACTTCCATTTCGATTTATGTATTGCATCTAAATTGATTATTTATCTTGTTCTGATAGTGTGTGTTTTAACTATGTCAAGAGTAATTATTTATTGTTGACAAATTCTAATCCTTTAGGTGTTTGGGCAAAAAGATTTCAAGAATGATGTATTTAATGGTGTGACTTGTTCAAGTGTTACTGTTGCAGAAATTATGAATGTTAAATAAAATTAATGCATTCATGAATGAATCCCATAATAATCAATTATGACGTTCAAAACACATATGACTTTGCCCCTCCCTGACTACTCGTAGTGTAAACCCATTTAGAAACACCAATAACCTGACAGGAATGGGAAATGCAATTCTTAAATGTACTTACCATCGTTTACTATGCCGGCTAAATTAAACCACAGAATCAGTAACTGCTAACAATTACTAATATCCGAAAAACTTCCACCCTACTACTTTCGTATGTGACTCTGGATACATCACCAACCTACAACTTCCGTCACCAACCATTAAAACAAAAATTCTTGTAGTACACACTCATCCGTGAGTAAAATTACGTCCGACTTCATTTAAAATAAGGAAATTTAATAAGATATAAATATTACACCAGAGGCATAAACTTTGTATTATACATAATACAGACGGGCAGAAGAATCAGATTTTAGTGACTCAAGTTTATTCTCAGTGTTAGTATGGATCTGTTACAAAGTAAAACCAGTACATAAAATATCCCCGTACTGCGCTAGCGGAAGCGCGCGCACACTCCGCTGGTAGAAGCGCATGCACTGTCCTAAATATTTATTTTTAAACGTAGTAATTACCAGACAGACTTGAATAAAAATCTAATAGAAGAATTAAAATAATACCTAAGTGAACAACAACAAAAAAGATTATACGTATGAGTTATAACCAAACTCATCCACGACCAGTACTTTTATTGCAGATACTGCCGATTAATGTGTTAAAATATATAGTAAAATTCGATGTACATACCTTTATTGTTGTTATCTGCTTGATGTATATATAGGCTGAACTGAAATTACAGCATTCGGTTTCACTATGAACACACAGAAAACAGATCGCACTCTGTATCTCAGCCACGATGCAACTGTTTGTTCACGACCATAGAAAGGACAACAATCTCTTGCAGCTTGTATAACGGATGGTCTTAGCACTGAAGAATTGACTCCTCTAGCTTTTTTCTTGAATAGCCATGCTTTCATTCTTCTGTCCTTTAGTCAAAATATTCGAAAATCTGAAGAGTGTAACAAAGAGGTGAATCTTGCCAGCAGAAGACCAAATTATTTTATTGCTCTCATCTGTTTTATGACACCAGGGACTGCTAAAATATGTCAAGTGTGACAACCACGATTAATTTTACAATGCAGAACAACCCTGTGAAGAACTGGGAAACCATATTCACAGTACACATCAAAACTGAAAGAAAAGAAATTAAAAATAAAGTATAACTAGTACAAGTACTAGTACAAGCAACACAGCACGCATATAAACTACACCAGTAAAAACAAGAACATATCACCAAGGAGGATAGACGACAATATCCACTACCAAGGAAGATAAAACATGGTCCATATTGGTTCACGAACAAATTTCTTAACTTAAAAATAAGTTTTTACACACATTCATAACATAATTTTAACGTAAAGGAAGGCTGCTTTGGTGAAACAAATTGAATTTTCTATAGAGTGCAGTGGAAAATTACATTTTTAAAATATCCTTTATGGACGTGATTGCAACTACGTCACTTCTAAGTAATATACTTCAAGAATGTTCTTATTATAAAAGTTTACGTCAAACATCTATTTCGTCAACGGAAAATTAACAACTATGTATAGTGAGCATCATAAATGTTTTAAGTGTATATAGTCTTATAAAAATATTTACGTATTGGTGGGTTCCTGATCGTAGTGATATACCTCCGATGATGATTCATTAAGAATCGAAACATGTTAGGTAACTAAGTGCTGGAGTGGTGAAGGCGTTATACGTCACATTGGACTGAAATAAACTTCATTGTAAAAAAAAAAGTATAACCCTTTGTATAAAAATTTGCGAAGGTTATGTTATAATATGCGACACTATGTTCTTTGCTGATACTAACAAAGTTAATGCCATCCATTTATCATAAAAATTGTGTTAGATACAGTTTTTTTTAAACAATGCTTAAAATTGTTTAAGCGCCCTAACAGAAACGGACATTTACACGCAGAGTAGGAACGGGCGTACGTGCACCAGCAGGGGGCATTTAAATAAACTCTGGCCAGCTCAAGCTTACCACCATTTCAAAAGTTAGGCGTTTAAAGGTTAATACTTTATACTGTATTCTGCTTTCATGTGTAAAATTGAGTCTTCCTTTTGTATTTCTAATGCTGTTCATTGCTTAGAATTCTCTTCCATTCCCGTGCGTAACATTCTGGCTTTTTGTTCTAAACCTAGCCACTTCATGAGTTTGTATTTGACTTGCTCCTGAGCGATTCCTTAGCCACAACAGCTTTCTTCTTCGACAGTTACTTTTGTTGCTTGTCATTATGTATGCCCCACTTTTAATAGTTTCGGTTTCACAACCCTATGTAATATTTTTTTTTCCTTGGCACTACACCCCCAGTGAGCCTAGCCCTACCTACATGAACTTCTCCGTTCACTTCGTTTTTTCTAGATCTTAGACATACGGTAGGACTCCTTGGGCGGGTGATCAGCTCGTCGCAAGGCCTCTACCTGTACACAAACACAGAAAAACGCACACATATAAACTAAACATCCATGCCCTGAGTGGGATTCGAACCCACGATCCCGGCTTCCGAGCGAGCGAAGACACTGCACGCCTTAGACCGCTCGGCTACCGTGACCGGTCTATGTAATATAGTTCTGAGTTAGTATCGTAGTACTTGCATAGGTCATCAAAGTAAGTTTTAAGTATGGTCATGAATGTGTACTCAATGTTTTCATTAGCTATGTTATTATTTCCAAACCTTTTGCGAAGAGCCTACATCACCATAATTTGTTAAATTTCACAATTTTAAACTGTCCATTTGAAATTCCGATTTAGTGAAAATCACTTTATCCGTATTTAAATATTTCCATGTTGTGGAGGTTAAATTGTTTAAATTACACCGCTAATAATGACCTCATTCCACAAGGAAAAAAAAATATATTTTCAGCCGCTTCAACATGAAATACAGGCACTGCCTTGGTCCTGACCGTTAGTATTAAAGGCATGGGCTACCCCATAAATAACACACCTAGGGGGACCAGTGGAGGGCTCTTGTGAACACGGTAATGAACCTTCGGGTTCCATAAAATGCTGTTAAATTCTTGAGTAGCTTCACAATTGGCGGCTTCTCAAGAAGGGCTCAGCTCCATGAGTGAGTGAGGGCTACCCTATGATGAGAGGGTTCTCACTAAGGCTTTACACTTAACGGACCAGTCAGGGTATCCAGGCTCAACCATAAATCAACTCAGGATATGGAGAGTTTGTTGTAATTACTACGCTATTACTGCTGTAGCGGTATCGGTTATGGTCTTGAAGCGCAACTGCTGACAATTTGAAAAAGATAAAGGAGTAATTTAGAAAATAGCTAAAATCCGAGAAGGAGGTTTAGTATATTATAACTTCAATAGTTGCAAATATATATCAGCAAGAGGAGAAATATATGACAGTCTTCTAAAGTGTGGTTCGAGATAGGATCATGGTGTACTGAGGTACCAGACATTGCGGAAGCATCGCTGACCACCTAAATATTTAAAATGGACATAAAATAGGAAAAAATGAATAAACTGGACTAGAGACAAAGATTTAATAAGAGACGAAATCACTCATATAACAACGAAATATGATCAATCGTTCAAATAGTTTTAAATTTTATTATCTAATCATCCATTTCTGTAACAATACAGGAAATAAACAACCAAAGGACATTATTTGAATATGTTAATAAATCAGGAGACTAGTACTAAGGATAATTGTCAATGATTGGAAAACTGACACTACTATTGTCAACAATAGTGAAGTCTATTCTTCAGGAACATGAAGTGCCTAAGCACAAATTAATTGTTCAGACTCACGACGGGGCCTCTGTAATGAAAGGCAGATTGAATGGAGTAGCGATGATAAAAGAAGAGTTCTGGTTCTCACATTTTGTGCATTGTTGTGCTCATCAACTAAACCTAATTATGCAAAACTATGTTCAACGAGAGCATAAAGCTCGAAGTATTTTGTGGGTATTTATCCAGATTTCCGCCGTTTTTTTCAACCTCACCTAAGCGTAGAGACCATCTAGATATAAAAGTGAAGAGTAAGATGCCACGACACATTTCAAGTCAGTGGCAGAGTTGTAAATGAGAGCACGGGCAATTTTATAGAGTACATGGAAACATTCCAGAGTGATTCTGGTTCAGTTTAGTAGCCATTAATGAGCCCTTAATTATTTCTCAGAATGCCGAGCGATGAACGTTTTTGCTGACATTTGTATTTTTGTTCTAATTACGACGGCAGTTGATTTCTTGTACTAAAAGAAGTATAGGAAATACAAACGCGAAGCCTGTAACCACATCTTTCATAATCCCCCTTGCCATTGCGAATATTTTTGACCTGTCCGATGTACTGGCAGCTCTATGCAACTACAACACGACTCATTCTTCAGCCACGAAAGAACAATTACTGGGAAAGATTTGATCGAAGTTTTGAAGGAACATCAACGGGGTTTCACGCAATGACACCAAATTGCCACCACTTTAGCCGGTTTCGAATTATTTCAAGAACATGGGTATCATGTCCCTAACCAGAGCTTAAATGCGGCAGTAAAACATTATCCGATTGTACGATAAAATAGCAGAGGAGAGTGATATAAATTTTTCATGGATGTGCATGTTTTTGTAAGAGATGCAAATTCCACTACATCACTATGCGTTTCATAGGGACAAAGTATCATGCAAGTCCCAAAATTTATCATTAGAACTGTCACGACAACATTGAAGTCGGAATAATATGTATCAGTTTTAAAACTTGGAAAATCGTACTCGAGGAACACTGTAGGAGCAGGACGACTGTAATCTCTATCGCGCTCTCTTTAAAGGATTAACTGATGAAATTTATCCCTGACTTAGTACCAAGTTACTGAGCGTTTTGCAACGTTGATGAACAGACGCAAGTAGTTATCTTACACATCTTACAAGACGCAGGAACAGAACTCTATTTCCGTAAAATGTGGAACAAACCAATTATGTTTATAGCTGCATGACCATTCCGCCGAGCAGCCAGTAAATTTTATTTCACCCTTCTCAAGCCTTTATTGCATGATACATCGTACGTGTGCCCTTTTTATCACTGCGGCTGTTCTTGATCAGGGCGTTTGCAAGTTGTCACCTGACAGACAACATATGACAGAACAACGCCTTTGGAATCTATATGGCGAATGCTTCAACGTATTTTATCCTGTGCTTTTATTGTCTTTCACTGGTATCTGCCTTTGCTCTAAAAAGAAACAAATACAACCGAAACTGCTTATTTGTAGATTAGGGTTAACAGAAGTGATATAATTTCGTTCCCAACTTAGCAGTAGTAAAGCATTACTATCAGACACAGCTTGTAACGCTATCTAAGCATAAAACGCTGCAATTGAGATGTACGTTGAGGACTTGGCTGCGTGGTATTAATAAGCGAAAGCCGATACAGAGTTCCAGCTAGATGGAAATGATAAAGGTTTCATTGCGTAAAAAAAGTGTCTACAAGAACGCGAACGGAGGAGGGGAAGTTCAATGATGGTGAAGGATGCTATCTGTGATGCATTGTGATAATGAAAGGCAGGAAGTGAATGAATTTGACACTGTTTGTAATTATTGCTAAAGGTCTACAAGGCAGTTATCACAGTTTTCTATTTTTTTTTTACATATTAGGTAAGGTGCTATATATTTGGAGTTAAGTTTTGAATGCACTCCTCAGGTGTCACATATAGATAAGATATAATGTGTTGGGTATAACCTAAAGACTTGCATGCTGAACCTGTTACAGCATAAGTACAGGTTATAAAGGGCAGATTTGATCATGTATGACTCTGTAGTTGGGGTAATAATTTTTACATGTTATGAGAAAAATATTACATCACATTTGCATGTTTGTTTCAGATGATGTACATTTATCAGCATTGGAAATGAGTACAATATTTGGAAAGTTCTTCCCAAAGACACGCCCATCTGCTGATGGTGTTTCTGAAATTGGTTTACCAACAAATGTTCAGCATGAATTTCATGTGAGCAGGAATGAGGAAACAGGGCAATTGGAAGGTCTTCCTACACCATGGTTAAAGTTACTGAATACTCAAATAACGTGAGTGACGTGCTGATGCCAAGGAATCAGAATTTCAGCTTTATCATGTTTTTAGCATACATACTTAATGCAGTCAGTGAGAAACTTCTGTGCATATGGCAAGGATACAAAGATGGTTTGGCCACTTTATTAGGACTCATACCTGTATGTGTAAACTTGATTTACATTACCATGCTTCATATTTAGTGTTATTTATATCTTATGCTCATGGAGTACTATACATTAGGTTCTGCACTTCCTTGCATGCCAAATGTTGGACAGAGTATGCACTTCTCACAATGTTAAATAAGATATAATTATAACCCATAATGTATAATGAAAGAAATGTTAGTATATCTCATGTTAGCATTCCTTTCACTTACAATTTTGGGGTGTCTGTGAATGTGTCAGGTGATGTGGTGGGGGACAAGCACCAGTTTTTATATTCTTACACTTTGAGATTCGGTGTTCTTGCAGGTACAAACTGGCCTTGCAAATTAGTATTTACAGTATGATTAAATGCAGGTGTTACCTGAAATAATGTAATTCCCTATCATGCTCAGTTTATTTACCTGCAGTATAGTTCTTGACAAATAAAGAGAATTATCCCAGAGTTGCAGAATTAGAATATAACAGTCACCCCTCAGCACTGAAGAAATTCAGACAAACCGAAGGGTTAGAAGAACAAGCAAAAAAGTCCCTTGTGATTGGTCACCAGTGATGGAAATCATGGTGACTGTTGTTATTTCACATGCAGGGAGTATTTGGACAAGAACACTTTTGTAATTAGATAAAACATGGCATAGGAAAATAATACACAAATTCTGTGCATCAACTTTAAACTGGAGATTACAGAGTTGTTCTGTAAGACATTTTCATGAGAATGGAAACTGACGTGAATGGTGAAAGAGATGACAGCATTATACAAGTAGTCAATACAATTTCATATTGATAAATAAGAAGTGTACTCTATTCTGGGATGTGACGCTATGTAGTCTGGTAGAAGTTTAGAGATGGTTCAGAAGAATGTACTGTGTCCATCTTCAGAGTGAGCCAAGCAAGCAGATAGCAAATAGAGAAGTGCTTGCTACTTACTTGTTTGGTATAATATTTTGTACTGAAGATGGAATCTGCATGTTCTTTTGATACATCTACCAGATAACACTGCTTCATATCCCAGAATATAGTACTCTTCTTAGTCACTGCTGGGAGAAACTCAGATATCACAAAATAATGACAAAATTTGAGAATATTCAGTTATTTGGTAAGGTTAATTGTTCACTAGAATGAAGTCTGATATGAGTGAATATGGTGAAGAAGATTGGAGCATTATGGAATAGCCCAACAGTTAACAGATGTGCCTGCAACTGTGAAGATGCTGGAAGGTACTAGAAACAAAAACCTAAGACTGATGTTCTAAATTTACATGATATCTGGGACTGCCAGAAAACATGTGACAGAAAAAAGGACAAAATTATAATTACAGTACTACTACATTGCTACTATAGCCACTATGTATTCAAGCATGAAGGCTAGCAAATATGGAAGGTCATAAAATTATAGTGCTGCCATTATAGGCAATAACAGGAGAAAGATTTGGGGAAGTGGCGGTCAGGTCATGGCTGTTTTCATTCACCATGCTTTCCATTTTATTTTTCAAATTATTAAGAATTGAGACAGGAACACAAATAACTGAATGCTGTAAATATAAATATTAGTTGACAGAGAATATACTGTTAAAATTCCAATGTATTCAAGTTGTAAAATTTTAATTATTTCATTTACAGAAAGAAAGAGCAAAATGAAAATCCAGGAGCTGCAATCCAAGCCATAAAATACTATAACTACTCAATTAAGAAGAAGCCTAATGAGACATTCAAACCACTTGTCACAGAAGAGGCCATAAAAGAAGAATCAGAAGAAATTGAAAAAATATTAGGTATTTTTCTACTTCTGTCATTCATCCCTGTGTAATCAGTCGCATACCAAAGTAAGGACCCACAAAATTACTGAATGTCTTCCAGCCACATACCCCAGAAATTTTATAAGTGGTGCTTAATTCATGGGAAAAATAAATGTGGGAAATATTTCAGATGGTGAAAAGGGACTCTTGAGTGTTAGTTGCATTATCTTAGTATTGTCACTGTAGTTGTAAATTCTGTAGAAAGAAGTCTGTATGAATAATCATATTTATTTGACTAGAAGACAACTTTTGATTGTATGGCCTTCAGCATTCATTCATTCATCTGTAATCTGTCAAGACGACAGGTCCACAGTCTCTTCCAAAACAGTTCCTCCACTTGATGCGATCTAGAGCTTTCTCCTTCAAATGAAAATATCCTCTTCTGTCCCCAAGGTCATCCAGTATCTTCTTAC